CGAGACTCGTCAAGGCCTGTCTTTGAGTCCCAGGAGAATTCTCCTGCCTCCGATTACAATCAGTACAACCAACAGTGGCAACCATCTCCGTCCGCTCTGGGATCAGTGACGAGTTGCCGTCGATGACACCAAACGTTGCTACAGACAGAAATACGTTTTCTGGGGGTAATAATTCCTTCAAAGTAAATAAAAATGTAAAACAAATAATTTGGTCACTCAATCCACGACTGATTGCAGGACGCTGCTGTGGGCAATTGGCCTTTTGCCCACAAAATATATAGTCAATTCACATTGCAGGAAATCCTTTGAAGCACTTTGAGATGACTCGAAGACATGATAAGGCGCTATATCAAATGCAAGGATTATTATTATTATAAATACATTGTCTCTACAGGGGAGAGAGATTCACAGATATGTGCGTACTTTGCCTAAAACTCTGTGTGTTGCTTATTCACTGAAATAAACGCACAAAATACACAGTCAATCCATGTTACAATAAATTCTGCGATGCGTTTTGAGATGTCTCAACGACGTGATAAGGCACTATATCAAATGCAAGGAATACTATTATATTATAAATCTATCCCCCCCCAACTCCCTCCTTCCCTCCCTCCCTCCCTCCCTCCTTTATTTCTGTCCCTTTTTGAATGCATGGAAATGTAGCTGGACAGATGCTTCCTCAGTTCCCATGTCTCTGTCGGATGTGTTTCATACACTTTTTTTCCACCGCACAAAGGCTTGTAGAAATCTGGAATTCTCCCCCCCCACCCCCACTACGCAACATTGGAATTTTCAAGACTGAGGTCGATAGATATTTGTTCAGTCAGGGTATCGAGGGACATGGAGAAACGGAGAGTAAACAGCTGAGGGAGACAGCTCAAGGTCCTGAATGGTCAATTCCTGTTCCTATGTTTACCCTTTGGATGTTACAGCAAAGCAAAAGGGCCTTTTCACCCCATCAGGTGTTGAGATAATCCTGGCACTTGATTATTTTTTTTTTGTTGAAATCAACCTTCCTGCTCGAGGCGAAACGTCCTGAAACTACTCCGTAGATAACTGCTGTCAAAGGTTAGAGGCTGTGTGTGCTCCGAGCCAACCTGCCAGCCAACTTGCTGCACGGCCAAACTACCCTCGAATGAATGACTTTGATTTATCTGTGTCATCGTTGGCCACGTGAGCCTCTTGATGTAATGATCTGACTCCGTTTCCCTCTCTGTGTTGTTTCTCAGGAGCTCTTTGCCCCCCCCCACCCCTCCCCCCACTGACCGTCAATGTCGTCCACTCTTGAGCCCTCGCCAGCCCTGAGCCCCGAGCCTCCCCCACAACCTCCCCCCCTCCCCGAGCGGCGTTCCTGTTCGCGTCCGTCAAACGGAATTGCACGATTGTCAGCAGGAAGTGCCGTGTTAGCGTCTCGCAAACCGCAGTAGCCGACAGTGAGTCAGGTCATTGTTCAGAGATACGAGTGAGTCAGTCGCACACACTGAGAAACGTGCTTCCCGACAGGCAGTGTTCAGCAATCTCTGGCCCAGATTCCTCCTGGGGCTGACGGGCAGGAAACAGACGTCAGCGGGGAGGGAAGCGACTCAAGAGTGATGCAGGGAACTGGCGCGCGTTTTTCCAGTGTTGAGGATCACAGGGGGAGGCCATTTAGCCCCCTCGAGCCTGTTCTGCCATTCTATTAGATCATGGCTGATCTGTACCTCAACTCCAATTACCCGGAGTAGCTCCCCTTTGCTCTGGTCAAAGGTTTGGGAGGTTTAAGCCCTTTGTAGGTGGACTTGAACTTACAGTCTAGGCTGACGTTTCAGTGTGGTGCTGGGGGGGGAGAAGAAGCAGTGCTGCGTTGACAGACTGCCAGATGAGAGATTAAAGCAAAGGGATCAAAAATACACCTGAGTCGAGATTTACTCTTATTTTCTTACCATTTCAGAGCGTCCAGATTTTGGCAAATTGTTCAGTTCAGTCTTGATTTGCGAAGCAGTTTTTTTTCCAATGTAAATTTCTTTTAAGACCTGCAGAAAACCGAGACAGAATTGGGAGAGAATTTCATTATTACGGTGGTGTGTCAGCTTGGCGCAGTCGATAACGCTGTCCCCTCACAGTCAAATGGTTGTGGGTTAAAGTTGGGGACTTTGAACTCACATAGTCTAGACTGATGCTGCCAGGGTCATTATTATTATATTAATGTTTTGATATCAGCCCTCAACCTCCTCTGCTCCCAATGGGAAGAAGCCCAGCCTCTCTCGCTACTCCTTGTAGCTAACACAAGATATCACAGTGCGGATTGAATCTGGTTTGTACCTGCTAAGGGGGAAAATGTGAGTCCTCCAATCCGCGTGTGTATGGTGTGCGTGCATGCGTGAGTGTGTCTGTGTGGTTTACAAGGAGTTAAAGATTCCAGTTGGAAAGCTGTTTATTTGGGGATTCTGTTTTTCTCCCCCTCTGTGTGTATCTCGGCTGTTTCCTGTTGCCATCCAGCTGGGATGTTGGGACATTAGGTCCATAGATTAGTCAGTGCCTGACAGGAAGTGAGCATTTGTGGACTGGGATAATTTTCTCGGTTCCCACCCCCATCTCCCCTCCCCTCCTCCCGTCCCTTTTCCCTCAGCTTCGCTCCTCAGCAGGTGTTGCAATAGTCCGGAGTCTGGAAACCTGCCCATCAGACCACAGCCAAACCACAAAGGAAGATTGAATTTTGGGAACATATTCAGCCTGTGACTCCTCCTGGGGAGGGTCAGGCTGCCAGTGAGGCATTTTCTCTGAGATCACATGAAGCCATATTATCAAATAATAATAATAATGATGATCCTTGCATTCAACGCCTTATTGAGTCGTCGAAACATCTCAAAGTGCTTCACAGAATTTTCTTTACTCTGTGTGGGATAGTGACTGTGAATTTCACAGCCAATTTGCGCACAGCTATGTCCCGCCAACTGTCACTGAGTGAATGACTAGTTTTATCTGGAGGATTGTTGACCGGGACACCAGGAGAATCTCTATTCTCTTTTCAAATGGGTGCTGTCTTTTAAGGTTCACTAAGGTACAATCTTTAACATCTGCCTGAGTGAGTAGCACTCTCACCTCCAAGTCAGAAGATTGCGGGGTTCAAGCCCCATATCGAGCTCACTGTGCAAGCTCACGCTCCAGTCCAGTGCTGGGGGGTGTGGGCGGGGGGAAACTGCACAGTCTGAGGTGCCATCCTTTGGATAAGTCATTAAACCAAGGTTACGTCTGTGTCCAGGGTGAACGTTAAAAAATCCTCGATGCAATTCGAAAAGGGAAGGGAGTTTCTCCCAAGTGTTCTGGCCAACAATCCTGCAAGATATACAGTGACCACGTGTTGCAGAAATTAACCTGTGAGACGCTTTGAGATGTCTCCATGATATCGGTGCTGCATGAAATGCAGGGACTCTAGTCCGAGCTTTCAATCTTCTGAGCTCCGGCATTCCAAAACACATGAAAAAAAGCGTAGATGAAATCTCATTAATCATATCGTCTTTCTAACTGCTGTCCGAGACTTACCTTGTCTTTTTTACAGCACTGCCATTGTCCCAAGCCATGGGCTCCTTTGCTCTTCAACCAATAATTTTTTCTGTCTTCCAAACAAAAGTCCAGTTTTCATCTCTTAAGCTGTAAGGGTTGCCTTGTCTGCAGTGGTATATTTAGACATCGGAGGGAGGAGAGTGGGGGCTATTTTCTTCCTAAAGATCTGGTCTGGTCACCAAACTCTGATATCCTTTCTGAAAAGGTATCATCGTAGTGGTAGATTGGGATGTTAAATATCCCAGAAAGTGGGGGAAGGGAATGGGGAAGAGGGGAGGGAGGGAAGGGAAAGGAGGGATGAGGGAGAGATGATTGAACTAAATTGGTAAGAAAGCAGGAATGAATTGCATTTTAGGAAGAAATCACGTTTGAAGGAGATTGTGTGGTTGTGATACTCACGGAACAAATCAAATTAATAAAAAACGGTCACTCGAATCATGACTTGTGTGGGACACTGCTGTGAGCAATTGGCTGCTATGTTTCGCCCACAAAATTCATTTTACAATTCATTCTGTGAAGCGCTTTGAGATGTCTCAACAACGTGATAAGCCGCGATATCAAATGCGAGCATTATTATTAGCATGATGATGAGTATTATCGTTAAGCCTCCAGAGAACGGAACTGAGTTTAAGAAAATTGGGTTTGAGGCTTCCGCTTAATACAAATTTTAATTGTGAACAATCACTTTACGTTTACACAGCGCCTTTCACGTCGGGCAACGAGGATGTCTCAAAGCGCTTCAGGCCGGTGGTGCTGAGATTCCGAATAGAATAGAGGCTGCATTGTACACTCCTGAGTCTTTAATCTAACCCAGGCTGAGTTCCGCAGGAAAACCTGGACTTTCTGCTTGTGTAAGCCCTGTTGGCAGGAGACCTCCTTACCGCTGCTCTTAGCTTGTTCTTGGCTTCTTTCCATTCGATGTTATGAATTAAGTTTGTGCGTGAGAATTTTTCCTGATGGGAATATCCAGAGGCGACCACAAGATTTTGGATGAGGAAGAAAGTCCCCTTTTGGCTCCCGTCATGAAAGGCGGGATATCAAACGCTGTTATTAATCATAAGTTGGTGTCTCCTGTTCGACACCCGTCTTAATAACAAACGAGACATTTCAAGGCGCTTCACGGGATACATCGGAGAGTGCAGTGACTTGTGTGGGCGAAACGCGCCAGCCAGCTGCACACAGCAGTGTCCCACAAGCAACAACAAATGACTTTGTATAGCGCCTTTCACGTTGGGAGCAGGTGCCAAGACGCTGCAACAACAGCCATGGAGAGAGGGAGCGACCGATTTTATTTGGGGGAGGGGATTGTTGGCCGGGACACTGGGGGAGAGAGAGAGAGAAACTCCCTTCTGTTTTCGACTAGCGCGGCGGGATCTTTAACGTCCACCAGAACAGGCGCAGACAGGGAGTGAAGTTTAATGTCTTTAATGCGTGTATGTGTGTGTGTTGTGTTCCAGGCACGCGCTGTGGCAGTACCGCAGGGAGAATCCCGGCACGGTGGTGGGGGAGCCACCGCCCGGCATCCCTGGTTTTAACAGCGGCGTGGTGCTCCTGGACCTGGGCAGGATGCGGAGCTCGGCGTTGTACAACAGGCTCCTGGAGCCGGGCAACGTGGAGAAATTGGCTGAGAAATACCGCTTCAAGGGCCACTTGGGCGACCAGGACTTCTTCACGGTGGCCGGCATGGAGCACCCGGGCCTCTTCCACCCCCTGAACTGCACCTGGAACCGGCAGCTCTGCACCTGGTGGAGGGATCACGGTTACGCCGACGTCTTCGACCTTTACTTCCAATGCCGCGGAGAAGTGAATATTTACCACGGGAACTGCAACACTCCCATTCCGGAGGAGTGACGTCAAACCTCAGGGAGGGGTGGGGGGTGGGGGGCGGTTGGTGGGTGGGCGCTGACGTCTTATCAGCGGACGTCTTATCTGACGTTTTATCCACCGACGACTCTTTCCTTGCTCTATTTTTTCCATGCTGGGGGTAGGGGTGGGTGGGGGAGGATGTCCAATGGCGCTGTAACGACAGCCATGGAGTGACTGACCAATTTTAATGGGGTTGTGGTGGGGGAGGGGGGGAAAATGTTGGCCAGGCCCCCGGGAGAGAGGGAGAAATTTGCTCGTTGCACTAAAGATTTTTTGATAACATTTTTATAATACTCATTTTCTTTAAAAGCTTTTTTACTCCTTCTGGATCAGTTTCTTTTTTTAACAGCACGGGTTACCAGTTTCCAGGCTTCTGACCTGTTTGTTTTTTTTCTTTTTGTCTCCCCTCCCCACCCACCTATTGCACACCCTTTGCTTTGAGCCCAGCCTGGATGGGGCTAGAGTTCACCCTGGGCAGAGCCCTGGACCGAAAGGCTTTCATTCCAACCTCATCTTAGCCTGCAGAGCAAGAACATCTTGTCTCGTCTGGAGGAACTGGAGGAAAAGGTCATAAAGTCAGTCCTAGCTTGAGAACCTTATTACTTTAAGTAAAATAGGAACTGAATAGAACCCAGCTTCCAAAATTTTATAATTTTATTAAATAAATAAATACTAAAAACTATTTGGTCACTCAATCCACGACTGTTTGGGGGACGCTGCTGTGCGTAATTCGCTGCCGTGTTTCACCCACAAAATACACAGTCAATCCACTTTACAATATATCCTGTGAAGCACTTTGAGAAATCTTATCGACGTGCAAAGTGGCTATATCAAGTGCAAGGATTAGTATTATTATTATTGTTGTTGTTACAAATGCCAGCTTGGCTCAGACGGCAGTGATCTTACCTCTCAAGTCAGAAGGTTGTGGGTTCAAGCCCCTTGTTGGGATGTGGAACTCACAAAGTCACTATACTTTGCAGCAAATCCACTGATCCAAGCTTTACAATTATAAAATATAAGAACGACTGACTGAGAGAGAAGGCCATTTTCTTTTGATCGCTTGGGGGTAAAATTGGCTGGAGTTTCTTAATTAACTGCATTAATTGACTTGAAGACGGATTTCAGAAACAACTTGACTTGTTTGCCCATTTAAGATTGGATGTCATTTTTCCCCATAACCCTAAAAAAAATGCTCCTTCAGAAAATATTTTCTTTTTTTAAACTTTTCAAATTGTCAATTGTTTTTCTCACCAAAACTGTCCTTGACATTTCAAAGCCTCTTTTGTTTGTTTTGCAATTAATGAAGTAATTTGGGCCGAGTAATTAGTGAATAAAAAAAGGCGAAAAAAATTTCCTTCCTGAATATTTCTTGAATCCTTTTCTTGAAAACTCATTAAACACACATGAAACCAAGCCCCCTGTCTGCTCTGTTCAGGTGTGCAAATGTTTAGTGCAAAATCCACAGGGTTGCATCTGTGTGCACTGAGAGTTATACCACCAGTCACCTTTCGTCTACAAAATGCACAGTCACTACACTTTACAGGAGATGCTGTGAAGCATCCTGAGACATTCTCCCGACGTGAAAGGTGCTGTATCAAAGACAAAGATTTTGTATTATTAAAGTAAGTACGATAAATATTTTGTTATATCAAGCTTATTTTGTTTTGTTATAAACTTATTTTGTTATAAGCGCTCCAGGACGCTACTCGACATGAGGGGCACGACATAAATGCAAGTTGTTGTTGTTCCATTCACAGATTGTGTGTGTGTGAACTTCATTTTTGGGATTGCCTCGAAAGAGGGGGGTGAAGGGGGGAAAGGTTAATAAAATTATCCTTGAATTGTTTAATTTAAAATCATGTATACAAAAGATAAGTGAAAAGGTAACAACTGTATTTAAAATTAACTTTGTTCCCTGTTGTTTCTTGTTTAGCTGTAGAATTGCTGAATAATCTCACGCCAATGGGGGAGGGGGGAGGGGAGGTAATGCATCCCCTTTGCCTTCCCCCCCCGTCTACAGTCACTTCCTCCCGCTCTCTTCCTCTCCCGATACCCCTCCCCTGCGCTGGCTTCTGCATTCGCCTACAAATACACAGTCACTAAACAGGAATTACCGTGAAGCACTTTGAGACAATTCGATAAGGCATGGTGTCAAATATGGGGGGAAATCACATTTCTTGAAGGTTTACCCCAACAGTTTTTTTTAATTGACTATTTTTACCTGCGGTTTCTACATCCAGATGTCCTCCTGATCTTGGTGCTAGTTTTGTCTGTTTATGGGGATTACACCTTGGGACGTTCTCCCGACGTGAAAATGTAATTTGTTGTTGTTGACCTAGATTAAGACACCAATTGGTACCTCGAGCGAGTATTTGCCTCCATATGGAGTGTAACGTCCCATGTCCTTAGTTGAGCCTTTCATTCCTTTTTTTGCATAATTAATGAGCAGTGGGTATGAGTTACACTTGAGAGGATTTTAATGACATTTCTTTAAGGTTTTCCCACCTGCCCCAGGGCGCACGGCCTCCGACCTCTGCCATCTCCTCCAGTTCCACCTTCCCCCCCCCCCCCCACCCTCTTGCCCCCACCTTCCCCTCTTTTGGATCACAACTAAAGACATTCTTCTTCGACCGTGCTTACGGTCACCTCCTTCCACCCCCCCCCTGGCTTGGCGTCAGGCTCCGCCACGGTTAAGCGCTCCGAGACTCTGCCCAGAATAAAGGGCGCTATGTAAATGCATGTTGTTGTTGTTGCTCCCCTTCCTCGTGTCAGTGATGGAGCACAGTGTACGCTCTGTGTAAGGACTCAGTCCTCACAACTAGAACTACACTGTAATGTTTAATGCTCAATTAGTTAATACGCAGCTCTCTTTTACACGTTGGCTTTTTTGGGTTGGGTTGGCCCTCTTCCATGGCCTTTCCCTCATTAATGTCGTTCGACCACTTTCCTGCTCGTCTCCAACCTGTTTATGTCTTTAAGAGCACTTTAAAACACCTTCAGTGAACACAGAGGTGAGTGTGAAAGGTAAAATAAACAACCAACCACTTTAATGAAAACGGCCAACCCCCGTTTCCCACCTTTACTGTTCGTTCACAGGTTACTATTGCATTAGTTAATTAGTTCAATCTAAACCCTTTACACTGACGAACGGGTTATCCTCTCACAAACTTTATCTTATCTGTGTAACCTTCTCAAATCTTATGTGCCAGTCTGTACTCTCTGCTGTTCTGACTCAATATTAATCATCCCGCTATCTCGATTGCCATTGGGAGAGAAGTGGGGGAGGGGAGCTGAGCCATTAATCACCCCCCCCCATTGCCCCCCCTTCCCCCCCAAGTCACTAAACAGTAATTACCATGAAGCACTTTGATGCATTTCAATAAGACACTGTGTCAAATGCAAGGATGTTAGGATTATGAGTGATCGCACCTAACACTGAACACGATAATTGCCCCGTGGTATGTTTTTAAAAAGGGCCGCGTGTTATAAACGGGGGCTTTAGACATCTGTACGCTCTGCGACATCCTCCCGACGTGAAAGGCACCGTATAAATGTAAGTTGTATTGTGTTGTGCTATATCCAAATCCAAGTGAAAGTTAAATGTAAAAGGCTGTTGTTATTAATAACAATCCTTACATTTGGTATAGGGCCTTTGCGTTAGGAGGACATCGCAAAGCGCTTCATAGGATGTCCTGTAAAGTGGAGTGACTGTGTAGTTTGCGGGTAAACCCGGCAGCCAATTTGCACACAGCAATGTCCCACATAGAGCTGTGAAGTGAACAGGTGGTTCCATTGGGGTGGTGGGGGGGATTTTTTGGTGGGACGGAGTCATGTCACTCAAAGATTCTTCCACAAACCTGACACCAACAGGAGTGAATTAAATTAAATGAAGCCATTAAAGAAATGAACAGGAGTTTAAGATATGAATTGTGAGCGTGTGTGGGGCCCAGAACATTGCTTTCGGATCAGGATAAACCTTGACAGTCTGACACGACCAAGTTCAGCCACATTCCAGTCAGTTAGTCTGCATTCCTCTTGTATTTGAATGTATTTGGTTGGTTCTGAAATTGTGGACACAGCTTTAGATGCAAGTTGCTACCATTTGCTGTGAAGTAACCCTTCACGTGCCAAATGTTTTTTTAACCCCTCCCTCCCAGCCCCCATGCTGTCAGGTCCAGGCTGATGCTTCAGTGGACAGAGCGCCATTGTCAGCGGTGCCGTTCTTTAGATGAAACATTAAACCGAGGTTCCGTCCGCCTGTTTAGGTGATTATTAATAATCATAATCCTTGCATTTGATATAGCGCCTTTTCACTTCGTTGAGATGTCTCAAAAGCGCGTCACAGGATATACTGTAAAGTGGATTTGACTGTGTATTTTGTGGGCGAAATACGGCAGTCAATTGCGCACAGCAGCGTCCCACAAAGATTGTTCGCTTAAGTATATGAAACCAGATCAGTTGCAAGGATTGCTATTATGAAATGCACAAGGGCCTAAGGCCATTTAACACGATCAGAATAAATTTTCTGCAAATTCCTCGTGTGTGTCTGTTTGTGCGTGTGTGTGTGCTATATTTTATTTCCTTCCTCTTCGTTGTAGAAAGCATTCCTCAGCATTGTTTTGATCGGGAACATCTGTGGCGCGCCTTGCAATGGTACCATAAACTGTCTTGAAATGGTGCTCAGCAAGGTTACAAACCCGTCACAAAGAGATGCCCCCAGGTATTGCACAACGTTATAATTCTAGACTTGCTTTGATGCTGCGTTTTTCTGCAATGACTCTCGCAAGACTCCTACGTGTTGATTTGCACACTGCATCAGACGGGGTTTCCAGCAACTTTTACTGGTTAAAAAATGTCTCTCTGCTAATTTCTTTCAAATGTTCTCCCCTCTTCCTTGTGATGTTTTATTGCCCTGTTCCGTCCTGTTGTCATGTCACTCCATTGGGGTCATTTCTCTACTCTTCCACCCCCCTCCTACCTCCTCACCCCCCCTCCCACTCCCAATCAGTCCCCATCTATCTCCATTGCCGGAGTATTGAACATAATAATAATAGTAATCCTTACATTTGATACATCGCCTTTCAGCTCGAAAGTACTACTCAAAGTGCTTCACAGGATATGCTGTAAAGTGGTGT